TGGGTCCTTGGTGGTTTGCTCTACGAGCTCCTCCCTCAGCTTCTTTCGGAGGTCGTAGGAGTTCACAAGGCAAGTTATATACTCGGGGTGGCGAGATAATGCATCCGCAACTCGATTGTAACAACCCCTTTTGGGTTTCAGTTCAAAGTCGAAAATGTCGATCTCATGGAAGCAAAGAGTTAATGTAGGGGACAAGGTAGTTTGTTCTTTGATCCATTTCAAAGTCTCATGATCTGAGAAGACTTTGAAGCGGCATCCCAAAAGGTAGTGCTTCCAGTGGTCCAAAGCCACGTGCAAGGCATAGAGTTCGCGGTTGTAGGTGGAAGGAGCTACCTTTTCATTGTGCATGAGTTTGTTGTAGTACTCGAGAAGCCGCAAGCCATCGCCATCATCTTGTTGCAGCGCTGCGCCAATCCCATACTGGCTCGCATCCGTAGTGACTATGAATGTGAGTTCGGAATATTGCAATGTGGAGTACAGGGTAACTTACCAAGGCCCTTCAAGGCTTGAAACGGGGTTCACATGTTGCATCCCACGTGTAAAATACGTTCTTTCTTGTTAATCCGGACAACAAGCGAGCAATAAAAGAGAATCAGAGCACAAACTTCCGATAGTATGATGCGAGACCAAGGAAAGAACGCAATTCGTGGATATTCGCGGGTTGAGGCCAATCAACCTTCGTTTCCTCAGGCTCGAGGCGTGCAACAGACGACAAATGCCCAAGATAGATGACAATATCCCTCCTAAACTTAGATTTATCTAATTTGAGATGGAGTTGTGTTTTCTTGAGGATGGTGAACACTTCCTCAAGGTGCTTCATACTTTCCTCGATGGATTTATTGAAGATCAGAATATCATCGAGATACACAACCACAAACCGATCAGTCTGTTTGGGGAGGACCTTGTCCATAAGGCTTTGAAAGGTGGTCGGTGCGTTCGTGAGACCAAAGGGCATTATGGTGAATTCGTAAAGCCCATTGCGTGTCTTGAACGCAGTTTTGTGCTGGTCTGCAGGATCGACTTCAATTTGGTGGTATCCAGACTTGAGGTCGATCTTGGAGAAGATTTTGCACCCACATGCAACATCAAGCAAATCGTCTATACATGGCAATGGGTATGCATTCTTTCTCGTGATGCGGTTTAGACCGCGATAATCAATACACATGCGGAGTTTGCCTCCTTTCTTTGGGAAAAACAAAACAGGTGCACCAAATTCAGATTCGCTAGACTTAATCCATCCCTTGTCGATCATCTCATCAATCTGTTTTCGGAGTTGCTCCAACTCGCCGGATCTCATTCGGTATACACAACCCTTCGGAGGAACACAACCCTTTGGAGGAACAACACCTTCGCCCAACTCGATCGTGTGTCAGACCAATCTCGTGGGAACTCAATGTGGTTCGACCAAAACTTCCGGGAATCGATCGAGTAGGTTTTGAATGCTGGTTGGGACCGGTGAGCAAAATGATCACCTAGATCAGGTCACAAATTACAAATGAAGGCAACCGAATTTGAAGTAGTCGTTTGGACCAAAGGTAGGCAAAGAAGTAGAAGTGGTAGAAGTAGTTTCATTAGGTAAAGTATAACTAGTATTGACTGCAAAAGTAGTAGGCACATGAGTAGGGCGAACGAAGATAACATACAATTGTTCGTCCTCCTTGCGCTTGCGCCACTTCTTGTAGAACTGCATGGCCTTGAGAAAAGTCACTAGGGACTTGTGCCTCTCATCCAAGAGGACGAAAAACTCGTTTCCTTGAGCGTCTTTGACCATGGAAAGTGACTCCTTCCACTCGGTCCATTCGCATTGGGAGTGCAGCCAGCCCAAGCCAAGGACTTCGTCGAAGGGACACAGGTTAAAAGTTCAATGCGTGGGTGACTGTCTTGTCCTTGTCAAAGGTAGTGCGCACATCTTTGACTGCATGCGTAGATGAGACAACCTCTTTGTTGCCTACTTGAGTCTGACAAGGGTTCTGCGAAGTCACTTGCTTCATCCCAAACCCACTTTGCGTATCCCGTGCGGTGATATGAAATTAGTCGTAGCACCACAATCAATCAAGACATAGAGATAGCGGTGGTTTATGAGAAGTTTGAAGAAGATTAACTTCACTGTCCCTTGAGCACCCTAATGTTTCATCTTAGTCCAATGCCCTAGGTGATAGTGAAAGTTGACCTTCCCAGACTCCTCCCAAGGCTCAATATACAAAGCATGACAAACTTCAACCTTGGAATCAGAAGACTATGGGGCTTCAAGAGAGGACTGCTGATCTGCGCCGCGTCCAGTCTCCCTGCTGATCTGGTTTCTGTGCAACCTATATCAATCTTGTACTTCGTGGTTTGGTTTCAGGCAATACAGACATAACCCTTTCTTGAGCCTAATGATCCGTAAGGTCAACCCAAGGTTTGGTGGTTGCATCCTCCGGTTTAGCTGGGATTTTGACTCCCTTGGGAAGTTGCACATAGTTCTTCCCCGGATTCCTATTTGGTCTTTTTGCATTGGCAGTCTTTTTAAAGACAGTAAATTTTTCCTTTTCGTGGTTTGCATCAGACTCATGGGTTGACGAGGAACATGTTGCATCAGCGTCATGTTCTTGGTCGTCACCAAGAGTGGGGTCATTTCCATAGGCCTCCTTTTCAGCCTCCAACAGGCCATGCACAACAAAACAGTTGCTGCTTCTGAACCACGTTCCGTCCATGGGCTTTTTGTTGTCTGCTGTGGAAACGAGGTCTACTGCCTCGAGACTGACTATGCCCTTCATTAAGGTGAACCAGTCAGTGTATCAAATGAAGTCCCTGCCTCGGCGATTTGTAAAGGTAGTGCGAACAACACCTCTCACTACATCTAAGCAAGAGTGGTCAGTCATTTGAACTCTTTTCTAATCCCGGGGTGGCAAACATCTTGCTAAGGTAGGTTTTAAGGCTTTTCATGGAGCTCAACCACTTGCTGCACTTGATATTGTCAAGTTGGCTCCTTGCCCTTGCAGCAGCATGTGGATCCGTGTATTGTTTGATCAAGAGTTCTTCAAGGGTGGCAACCGAAGTGGCCACCCATGTCAGATCTATCTTTGGGACCCCAGCTCGCGTAGCTTGGACTTCTAGGAAGGCTCAAATCCTGGTCCTGAATCCTGGCCTACCTTGGCCTACCTGGGTCCCTACCGGATGTCCAGGCTCCTCTTCCGAACCAGCAGGGTGTCCCCAGAGAGGGGCATAACATGGGCTGGACCAAAAATGAGGTTCAGCGCAATGGAAAATGCGGTCTGAAACACGGCCGCTGGGCGGGAATCGTCCCACAATGCTGGAACGATACACGGACTGGGATTCCTAAATCAGACAAACAAAATGAACTGCTGACCGGACAAAACCTGAAATGGGCAAAGGAATGAGAAGAGGCAAACGACTAAGAACTCAACAAAAATGAACCTCAGAAAAATGCAGATGGACCCAAGAAAAGGAACAAAGATCCTTACTCTAATCCTACGCCCCTACCCAATGTCGGGCCCTGCAGGGAACTGTGTGGACGCTGTGCATACGGCACAGACGAACATACAGATGGAGAGAGAGAGAGAGAGAGAGAGAGAGAGAGAGAGAGAGAGAGAGAGAGAGAGAGAGAGAGAGAAAGAAAGAGAGAGAATGAGGGGAGGGGAGGGGAGGGGATATTGCTGTGCGTCTTTGTTCGTGTGCTTGGCCTCTGTACCCACCAGCGTGTGCCCTCCCTCTCTCTCAATGTGTTATGTTCCATATAGTAGGTTCAGTTCTAGTTCACCGGCCGTGACACACCTTTTGACATGTCAGCATTTTTTTAAATATAAGAAAAGTAAAAATAGATAAATAGCTGTTTCCTTAATTTTCCTTTCTCGAACTCCCCCCGGATCCCCGTCCTTTATTCTGGGGTCAAAGAGGCTAGCCCCTCCTGGCGTCATTGTATGATCATTGCTCATGAAAGGATTTCACGTTGCAGACCCCTGAAAGTCGGTCACATACCCCCGCAAGTCTGGAAAGGCCCGAAGTCCCCAGTCCCAGCATCGCGTAGGGTAGGTCTGATAGACCAGTAAGATTGTCGTAAGGTCTGTTAGGCCAGCAAAATGTCATAGGCCCGATCCAGTAAACATCCGGAAGAGTCAGGGTGGAGTTAAGGGTCTGGTACCCACGGAAAATTCCAGAGGGTCGAGTCGCTGTACAGCCTATCCGGTACCCCGACGAAAAGTCTGGAAAGTCAAGTCCAGTTCTGAAGTCCACACAAATTGCAGCAAGTCCCAGGAAAGCCCGAAAGATTCCGGACCGACAAAATGATCGCAGCAGACAGGCCGTGGCTGACCGGTAGCAGTCCAGTCTGAGGCAGGCCAAGCCAAGTCCAAATCCTATATTTAGCTGCTACAATGCAGCAACGGGACACAGTTGTTCATTCGTGAAGTTGCGGAAGCGCTGCTGCTGCTTGTGTGACCAAGCGACTTGGGCAAGACAACGCTTGAAGAAGAAGGGAGCATCGGCGACAGCCACAGCTAGGGTAGAGATAGGGAAGCGGGGCGGCCACAGCCGCCAAGGTTGGAGTCATCACTGAGCGGGTGTATCCAGGGCAGGATCCTAGAGAGAGAGAGAGACTGTGAGGTTGAGTGACAGAGAGAGGGAGAGAGGGGTAGACAGTTACATACCTGAATCGAGGCCGTATCTGTCTGAGAGCGGAGACCGCAAAGAGATATGAACACTCTTTGTATAATAAAGATATTTTGCTTATCAGTCTCTCGTGAGATTCTTGCGTCTCGGCTATCGACTCCAAGTGTGAATACTCATCTGGATGTTCGTTGCATGTGTGTGCGAGGTTGAGGGTGACCTGCGAGTCATTGCATTCATCTCATTCTATTCAATTCTCTGGATCTGTTTGCTGACAATTGCATTGTGTAGTGACATGAACCCGGTCGTCATTCTCTGGTCTTCCTAATTAAAGCACCTCTATGAGTTTATGACTCTATGACACTTCTTTTTACTTCTTCTTTCTTGGGCTGCAGATTCCATTGCGGCAAATAGCTTGCCCCTTGTACGAGACACTGCTGTCGTTAGATCTCAAAGGGTTGCTCCGAAGAGGCGCAAAGTGCAGGCAGGTAGCGACAGGCACATGCGGGAGCCTTCAGCTAAGCTGTGGACTGATGAAGAACAGGTGATGAAAGAATGGTACGAAATATACTATGAAATGAAATGGTGAAAGTAGAACCTGGGTTGTTTTTTCTGCCCGCCTGGGCGACCAGGCAAGAGAAAAAGTGAGGTCCTCTTCTTTTTTTTTTTTTTTTCAGACGTGGGGGTCTTCCGCGCATTTGCAGAGGATCCCGAATCCAGGCTCTTTTCTTTTTTTGAGTGTTCGCTTTCAGGGGGGGGGGGAAGGGGGTATAAATTTGCTTTCAAGGGGCTAAAGGGGCTTAAAGGGTGTTAAGTTAGTCTGATTCTGTTATTTTCTTTTCTATCTTTTATTCGATGAGGATTTCATATGTTACCCTGAGCCAAAAGTTGTTTGCAACTTTGCATTGCAAATCTTCGCAACATTTTTTTTTTTCCTGAATTTTTTTAATTTCTTTTTACAGTTTTCGTGCTGGGGCTGCCCGGAACCCTGCCCGGGCGGTCATATGCCCAGCCCTGCAACCGGGCGTCCATCCGGGCAGAAGTCGGGTGCCTGGGATCCCGGAAAACCAATCTAGAGGAGAACCCCAATCAAAGTAGAAAACAATGTGTGATTGAATTAGAGGCATGATAAATAAATTAAAAAATCATAAAATATGTTAATGAACGTGTCCCCGTGACTCCCCTACCATTCTAAATCTTTTTTTCTTTAAAGAGGTATCATCATGGAACTGGCCTGCCCCAGGTAAAAATCATTTCACTCATTTGATCTGAAATGGTATTCACCAGTTAGCAGTAGCTGCTGCAGATCCCAGGGTTCGATCCCGAGACCCCAACCTTACCTGTGTACAGTACCGGCTGAAGTCCCGTAGAGTTGAACCCATCACCTGTGTATTTCTAACAGTCGATAGGTTGTCATAGGGTCCGTAGGTAGCATGGGTTCGAGCTGTAGACCTGTCGGATAGGAGTCATAGTCAGGTCTAGTGGTCGTAGCTGTAGTATTCTCGAAAGGTCAAGGTCGTAGCTGTAGTATTCTCGAAAGGTCAAGGTTGTAGCTGCTACAGTCCAGAAGGGTCAGAGTTGTAGCTGCTAAAGTAACGAAAGGCCAAGTTTTCGGCCTTCCGGAAGGTCCTGGTAGTGGCCTTTCGTAGTTGCCCACGTTTAGGCAGAGGCAAGTGGACAAGTGGTGAGGCAAGTGGGCAAGTGGTGGAAGTATACCGTGCTGAGTCAACAGTCCCAGTCTCCAGTCAGTCAAGCAAGTACCGCATGGGACTGTGTGCACTTCGGGCAAGGGAAATGGGCCAGACCAACGAGCTGCAGAAGTATAAATCAAGAGGCAGCGCCCAGCCATTCATTCATTCCTGCGGAAGCCATGCGGAAGCGCTGCCACGATGACTTGTGCGAGGTGTCTGCAGAGGAGCCTGAAGTCGAAGTGGGCTAGGAGGAGTTACCGCAGCCATAGCTGCTTGTAGAGTAGAGTTAGCTGGCGGCCATAGCTGCCATAGTTAGTAGTAGGTGTGCATTCGTGTGTGCCGAGTGTGTGCGTGGGGTATCCAGGGTGATCCGAAGTTGAAGAGTGAAGCAAACAGTGGTGCTGG